GTAAGAACTGGACCAGGACGTTCATATGTGGTTTCATATGTGGTTCATATGTGGTTCTTGTGGAAGAGAATCCATGTGTAGACCATGTGTGTGTGTATGCGTGTGCGTTTGTGCGTTTGTGGTATCTGCGCATGACCTTATGCGAATCATGTGTTTGCTCATGTGATTTTACGAAGGTTCTCGAATTTTCAGGAGTTACTAATATATGCATCTGTATCTTTGGTATTTTCTTAATCTGGACTGCGTTGAAGGTTTTTTTTATCAATTTTGAGTTACTAATGTATTTCCCCCTTTTTTCACTTTTTTTTACTTCCTGCAACTTTTTTCTTTTCTCTCTCTTTTCACACATTAATTTTCTTGGTACAGTTTTCTTTCTTTTACATCTGTTAATCGTTAATTCCTTTTTAATTATATTTTTATAGCAATGGTCCCTTCTCTGTGCAACCAACTGGAGCAACAGACTGGAATTTTAAAGGAATGCGAGTGTATTTTCTTTCCTTTCCCTCCCCCCCCACTCTATTTTTTTTCCTTTCTAAAAAAAATATGCTTTCTTTTTTGCATTTGAAACGAGGATGTTTTTGTTTCTTAATGTTCTTGCTTTTTTCTGACTCTCTTCTTGTCTCTATTTCATCATGTCTGTTTTCTTTCTTTGTCTCTCTCACCCCCCAATCCAACTCCCCTCCCCCCACGTATCTCCCCCCCCTTACTGACCTCCCCCCACCCACCCCCTCCCCCACTCATTCCCCACTCCCCTTACCCCCCACGTATCTCTCCCCTTTACTCACTTCCCCCCCCACCCCCTCCCCCCCACTCATTCCCCACTCCCCTCCCCTCCACGTATCCCTCCCCACTTTACTCACTTCTCCCCCACCGCCCCCACACTCACCTCTCTCTCACCCCCCCAACTCCCCTCCACCCACGTCTCTCCCCCCCCTTACTCATACCCCCCTCCCTCCCTTACTCATTCCCCACTCATCTCCCCCCACGTTTCCCCCCCCATTACTCACTTCCCACTCCCACCCCCTCCCCCCTTTTACTCACCTCCCCCCACGTATCCCCATCCCTTTACTCACTTTCCCACCCCCACCCCCCCTCCCCCCCACTCATTCCCCACTCCCCTCCCCCCCACGTATCCCTCCCCCCTTTTACTCACTTCCCCCCCCTCCCCCCTTCCCCCCCACTCCACCCCCCCCCATACCCCTCCACCCCCACATCCCGTCCAAGAAATGCAATTCATTAGCTCTCAAATAAGTCAAATGAGACGCAAGCTTGGATCTCTCTAATGAGGTCTCGTCCAACTTACTCACAACAGCTAAAACCCTCCCCCCCCTCCCCTCCCCCCCTCCCCTCCCCTCCCCCCCCTTCCTTGTGATGAGTCTAGAATGTCATCGTTAGTTTACAGGAGGAGGGACATGGGGTAATGCGATACTAGTGCCTCCTCCTTTTTATTTTATTTTCTTTCTTCTCCTTTCCACTCTTTTCGTGTCTGCTCTCCTCTTTTCTTCACTCTTCTAGCTCGCTCTCTCTTATTTCTCTATTTCTTTCTCTCTGTCTCTCTATTTCTCTCTCTCTTTCTCTCTTTCTATTTCTCTCTCTCTCTCTCTCTCTCTCTCTCTCTCTCTCTCTCTCTCTCTCTCTCTCTCATTCTCTCTCTCTCTCTCTCTCTCTCTCTCTCTCTCTCTCTCTCTCTCTTTCTCTCTCTCTCTCTCTCTCTCTCCCTTTCCCTTGCCCTTTCTCTTTCCCGCTCCTTCCTTCTTCTTCTTCTTCTTTCCTTACCTTTCACTCTCTCTCTCTCTTTCTCTTCTCTTCTTTTCTCTTCTCTTCTCTTCTCTTCTTTCTCTCTCTCTTTCTCTTCTTTTTTTTCTTTTCTCTTCTCTTCTCTTCTTTCTCTCTCTCTTTCTCTTATCTTCTCTCACTCCCTCTCTCTCTTTCCCTTTCTCCCTCTTCCTCTCTCTTTCTCCCCGTCATTCTCTCTCTCCTCCTCCCCTTCCCCTCTCTCCTTAACCTTTCCCCTCTCTTCTCCTCTCGTATTAGTTAGATTTTGCAAATAAGCGTGAAATCAATTTTGTCTCCTCAATTTTCTAGTTTTTTTCTCTCTCTTCCTTCTTTTTTCTTTCTCACCTAGTTTTTTTTTCTGATTTTCTTGTTTTGTTTTAAAAATATATCTTTTGTTTCATATATATATATATATTTTTACTTGTATCCTTCTTATTCCTTTTTCTGCTTCTCCTTTTCCCTCTTCCTCTGTTTCCCTTCTTTTTCCTCCTTCCTTCTTCTCTTTCTTTCCAGAGGCAAAATGTCTAATGTCTAGTGACTCATTTCTTCATATTTGTTTACTCTCCTATTGTCTTCTTGCTTATCTACTTATGTATCTATTTGTTTTCTTACTTATCTATTGTTTACTTATTCATCTATCGTTTTCTTACTTATATATTATTTACTTACTTATCTATCGTTTCCTTACTTAACTATTGTTTACTTACTTATCTGTTATTTACTT